TGATATTGGTAATATACATAGATGGCACATGCTCCCAGTGATTCATAGGAAAGGTGCTAAAGTGCCCCTGTAGCTGTTTTATAAGCTGGTTCGCTACTGCAGTGCATCAATTTATGCAATATTCAACGGGCTGTGCTCCGTGTCACAAATGCCATGCTGACCATTGCAAGCTTTTAGCCTTGACATTGTAATCAGTATTTCAAAGACGACTCTGTAGCCTAATTAACTTGCAAGATTTTTATGCAAAAAAATGTCTTTGACATTTCGTCCGCACATGAAAATTGTAGCATGTGCACCACGAGGCGACATCTGTATGGTTGGCATGCCATTTTATAGCGTGCAGAGTAGAGCAGGAACATAACCATTTTTTGGTCTATGTATTGCAAGTTTTGTTGTCAAGAGCGAGATGAGATCAATTATACAATTAACCATAAAAGTTTAAGGCTGCACACTAACAGTGGTGCAAATTCTAAGTTGGTCAGTTTCTCATTCATATGATTGCATTCATGCAGCTGCTTGTGAAATACCTGTTCATAATATATGCATGGCTAGATACAATAGCAAAAAAAGATGGCTACAAGTGTATAGCATTATTCCAGCTTCTAAAACAGATTTCACTCTTGCAAGTTCATTCAACACAACTTTAAATTTCAAATGTACAGTAATGCAAATGCTCAGCAAATAAGTGTAAAATCCAACTGAAAAATTTCAGGCTGTGTAAAAATGCAAGAACAATTGGTTACAGGTAAAATTTAGAGGAAGCCATGTGTAAGATTTCACATACAGTGGAGCCTCAATTGCTCATCATCCGGTTATGCTATAATCAGCATTTTATGTCGAATCTGTCTAGTTCTGCGAAGCGTCCATAAAATCATTTAGCCTTGTTTTACTATGCGATTTTGCCCCGCCGCGGTGGTCTAGTGGCTAAGGTACTCGGCTGCTGACCCGCAGGGCGCGGGTTCGAATCCCGGCTGCGGCGGCTGCATTTCCGATGGAGGCGGAAACTTTGTAGGCCCGTGTGCTCAGATTTGGGTGCACGTTCTTTACCCGAGGTGGTGAAAATTTCCGGAGCCCTCCACTACGGCGTCTCTCATAATCATATCGTGGTTTTGGGACGTTAAAACCCACAAATCAATCATCATTACTATGCGATTTCATGCCAATGCCACCTCGCATGACTCCTCTCTGCTACAGTGCAAGGAAAAAAAGAAACTAATTTACTCAATTGTAGCACTCACCCACCCTTTGCAGTTTCATAATCAAAGTTCATTGTTATGTAATGATACCACCTTTTTAATAAAACTAGTACAATGTACCTTGATAGAATGGGAAATTGATTTACCTGGCAGTTCATTTTCTACAGTGATTCACTTTTGAGGCTTTAACATTGCACATGGAGACACCTCAATCACATGTGATCTTGATCTGTTTTCTAGGACATACTTGTCAAGCCGCAGTACTGCGGCTTTTTTCCCTGCTATCCCCGTATTTCTCAAGGACAAATAAAAGCTGATTGATTAGAATATATATATATATATGTATACATACATGGGAGTTGCTATAGTTGTCACCCAAATAGTTATGGCGGTCCAAATACTTTCCTGTTTTAGGCTCATCTGAACTTGTCCTGTAAACATTATAACGGCAAACTTCTTAATATCATCTGCCCGTCTAATTTCCTCATTTTCTCTCGTGTGTTTGTCTTCTCTTGGAATCCATCAGTTATCCTGAATGACCAGCATTTATCCTGCCTACATGCCAAGCCCATGTCCTGTTATTCTTCTTCATGTCAACTATGATATCTTTAACTCCCGTTTGTTCTCTGACCCACTCTGCTCTATTCCTGTTTTAAGATAGTTGAGTCAACAAGCAGTGGTTAAGGATATAGTTGAAATTAAGAAAAACAAATAGACAGGGGTCCGGCATGTAGGCAAGATAACCGCTGGTCATTAAGAGTGAAAGACTAAATTCAAGGAGAAAGCAAATTTGTGAGAGGGAGACAGAAAATTAGGTGGGCAAATGAGATTAAGAAGTTAAGAAATCACAGGACCAAGTTGATTGGCGGAACATAGGAGAGGCTTTTGCCCTGTAGTGGGTGTAGTTAGGCTTATGATGACCATGAATTTTTCCTGGTTTATATGCTGCTAAATATTCCTCCCTTTGTATGCGCTACTCGCGATGAAAAAGTGAAAACCTCAAGTAAAGAAAATTGGCATGATGCAGCTACCTTCGGCATCTCAATTAACCTTTAGCACGAGCTTCCAAAATGAAGGCCAATTGCTCTTCAGTGCGAACGAAGCCCCGCCGTGGTGGTCTAGGAGCTAAGGTACTCTGCTACTGACCCCCAAGTCGCGGGATCGAATCACGGCTGGGGCGGCTGCGTTTCCGATGGAGGCGGAAATGTTGTAGGTAAGGTACTCTGCTACTGACCCCCAAGTCGCGGGATCGAATCACGGCTGGGGCGGCTGCGTTTCCGATGGAGGCGGAAATGTTGTAGGCCCGTGTGCTCAGATTTGGGTGCGTGTTGAAGAACCCCAGGTGGTGAAAATTTCTGGAGCCCTCCACTACGGCATCTCTTATAATCATATGGTGGTTTCGGGACGTTAAACCCCACATATCACTCAATATCAGTGCGAACGATGCACACAGCCTGCAGTCACACACAAAATGAATCACTGCAAACACTAAAAGAACTCGCTCCATTGCAATTTTGTAATGGCCGTGACGCTGTGCCTGATCCCACTGACAAGAAGCCGTTGCTAACGTGGTTTGAGTTTCATTATCATGCTCAATGCTGTTGCACAAGCAGTTTTAAATTCAGTTTACCAGACAAAGATGTGCGTGTGATTATTTTTTTTTATGATTGGAATAAGGTTAGCTGGTCCCGTCTCCATTTAAATGCGCTTGGCTGTCATTTACTAAAATAATTTTATCTACCTTCCTTGGAGGTAGATAAAATTGGAGGCAGGTTCATGTCGCAAGTGGTTTGTAATTGTTTCTAAGAAAGAAAGAGCATCACTGCCCAAATTCTTAGTTTTAAATTGTCTGACGATTCTGCATAGTACCTCAGTCATGTAATCGAGGTTTCATAGACCATGAAAATGCCATTAAAAAAAAAAAACTTTTGATCCCGAGCAAAAGGAAGAACTGTGCTGCAGTTTAAATATGCTAGGCGTGTTTAGAGAAGGGGTCTGCAGCTTTTGGGGCAAAGGGCTTCGTTACATGAAGCTGACATGGTAGCGGCCAGTTAGCAAATAGGAAGGAAAGGAGGGGGGGGGGGGGGTTTACAGCTTAGAGAAGAAATTGGGCATATTGACGATTGTGTGCAAACTGGAATAGAACTTGTGTTTATTTTTTGTTCCTGTCTAACCCCATCTGAGGTCAAAACTGCCGCGTCTTCCTTCGCATAGGAAGTGACAAGTGCAGGGAGCGACAGATTTTTTATGCTGTGCTAGGGGACTGCATAATACTGCTCATGATGGCTTCAGGTTGCCAACCCTTCGTTTATAAGAAGTAACCGAAAGGCAGAAGGCTGGGAGGTCGAACTAAGGTGGGACTGGAAGTTCTCATTTATGCCTTTACTGGGTAAAAAAGAAATTGTCTGTATCTCCAGTTTGAACCTTAGCGAATAACACCAGTGGACAATGTAGATGGCAGGGTCATTTGTGAAGTCATTGGTTGCTGTAATGTATCGGACCTCTGTGCTAAGCTAAAAGTTTTTCTTTTTCACGTTTATTTAACGGCACGTGTTTATTTTTTATGTTACTTATATGACTGGGAGATTACTGATTCTCTGGGCTTTGGAGACCTGTCCTGTTGATCTAATTAACAGCACTTGAACAGTGGATGTTGTGGGCTGGAGTCTCAAAAAAAAAAAAAAAAAGTTTGTCGCTGACAGTGGCAAGACCCCTGCTTCTGCCCCGCTGTGCCTTGCTTGACCACTCTTATTTGTGTCACTTCAACTCGATATATTTTCATTCAGTGCTCTTGCTTTTCATTTTTCTTTATTAATGATTCTGCTTTTCTCATCTAGGAAGGGGAAGACATTCATCGTAGCTAATCACCACACCAAGGGATTGGTAGATGTCACTTGCGAGATTTGAATGCTTCGCACAAAAGGACCAGTTCTGGTATTCAATCTTCACGAGACAAAAACAGAAAGAGGGAAATGCAAAAGAGAAACAAAAAGCGTTTTTCTCGAAGTTTCTGTGCAGTGTGTGCACGTGTGCTGACAGCACATGTGAGTATTTTCTACACCCCACCCAGCGCTCATGCTGTCTTGATGGTTGTCATTGTCTGCAGTGTGTATCCTCTTGACACTGTTTCTAGGGCACAGCAGCAAGCCTGACTATGTGAGCGAGCGAAAAAAACAAAATGCTCTCCCTTCAAGGTCTTGTGTTGGTTAAAGAGAGTGCGAGAAATGGACTATCATGTTATGCCACATCTGCTTCTTCTTCTGGCCAACATCCTTCTGCAAGATATGTGGCCCACCCCTATGACGGGCTTGGAACGAATGTAACACGTGACAGTGCCTGCCCCCCTCTTGCCCATGAAAATGTGCACCTGAGGGCAGGGAGAAGATCCTTGCCGAGGGTGAAGACTCCTGCTTGTCTCACTTTTTTTTTTCTCTCTTTTCTGCTGTCTGCGTATTTTGTTCTTGGCTGTACCTCTTGTGTGCGGCCATTAGCTGTTTGGATTCTGTTCCAAATAACTACTTACAGACCTGTAATTAGGCTTCAGTGTGTCCTCGTTCCAGCGGCGGATGCCATGGTAATTTTAAATTTTAGTGTAAGCTTTGCTGTAGCTCGAATTAAGGAACAGGCGAACACTTCTTCAGTCTATTCAAGGTTTGCAGTGTTTCATGCATCTTCTGTCTTGTTTTAGAACTTCGAAAGGTTGTATAAGTGAATTACCAAGGTTGAGCTTTAACCGGCAGTTGCATAAAGCCAGCTTTCATTGGAGCACAGTTATCTAACTGGTAATGTGTCTTTTTGTTCTAGGCCTTCTGCCCACTGAATCAGGTGCCCACATTCTCGGCCCACGAAAGCCCGTTTGATGTTTTTCAAACCAAGGACCTTGTTAGAGGTGAGGCATGCTAGTAGTTAGCTTTGTGTTCACGTTGCATTGGGAATGAACATGCACTGACAAATCTTGGCTCGTTTCTTTACCTACAGCGGTCGTGATCAGCTGTTCTACGGAATCTGAGCGCGTCATTCTGTCAATGAAGCCAGACGCACTTCCTGCAGACCTGCAGCACGTGTTGAAGCTGGTAATAAGGCCCATATGTTCTGGCCTCTGCATGTGAACTTTGTCATCCTTGTCTCTGAGCTCTAATAATGATTTGAGGAAGGCCTGTATACTGTAACACACCTTTTTGACAGTTGCCAAGATTTTTCTCAATTAATCCGGATAACAGTATCCGTGTTGGAGCTCTTGAGAGTAGCTGTTCAGTTGCTTGCGTGTTAAGACTCCTTTGGGTTCATAAAGCTTTGTGTGTGGCTGTGCCACATGTTAATATAGGGACAAGTTTCGTGTTTGTGGTATTGATTCCTGTGGATTGCTTTACATCAAAGTCATTAGTGATATGTTGGATAGAATTTGTTTCATTCTCCATCATCAGTGCAATATGTATCATGTCCTAGGGTCAGTGAAGGATCGAATAAGCTCACAGGGGAGATAAAGCAGGCTGCTTGTAATGTAGCATCAGGCCTAACTAGGTGGCATTGTATTGACCCCTCTCTGAATACTGAATGCTGGTGTAAAATGCATAACCCAAAGTATGTGCTCTTGCTTGACAACGGAGGATAGGTATTGTGCAATGACATTTTGGCACCCCTACCCAATACACTGGGACCAAACGATGAAATGCAATAAAGAGCTGCACAAAATGTGGAAAACAGGAAAAAAAGGAAAGACAAAACTATGTGTGTGCATGTGTGCATGCAGCACAAACAACTGCCTCTCTTCACACAACAGATGATACAATCTGTATCACACTTAGAGAAAATCTCGGAGCGCATGGCATCATGGTGCGACCAGCACTGAAGTCGCTCGCATCTGCCACGATAATACATTGTTATATCTGAAAGTTTGTTAAAAATGATTCGTAACATTCTACAGTAGACTTTCATTTAACGTAATGTGAAGGGGCCAGAAACTTTTTTATTTAACAGGAGTTGCATTTACTGACAGATGAACAAGGCTGCAGAGTACAAGTACAAAACCAATCTTGTCAGAAGCACTTGTTCTATTCAAGCAAAAGTTTCGTCTAACAGACTTCCGTTTACTGAGATTCTACTGTATTTATGACAAAGCTATTGGTCACTTAGTACTTCGTTATAACCAGTAAATTGTTATATTGAAGTTTCGTTGTACAAAGAAGCCGTAGGACCTCCAGATTTCTCAATCCAATTAAGTCGTGTTGTAGTGAATCTCATGTAATGACAAGATTTGTTCTAAAGGTGTTTTTGGTGCCCTCATTCATATCGGGGATAGTGTGTTCGACTAATAATTGTAGTCTACTTTGTTAATTTTCTAAGTTAACTCTAAACATATTGCAGGGCTTGGTTACTGAGGAAGAGGTCCCTTCGCACCACAAGTGAGTCCACTAGTTGGCCCTTTTCCTGATATTACAATTGTCACTTTGGGTTGTTTGTGATGCACTTCGTTTCCTTGCGTGCAGGCGGCTGATGAGCACTCATGGCCGCTCCTATCAAGAAGTTCTCGAGCGAACCACTGGTTTCAACAACCCTACTACTGCTAGCCATCTCTGTTCATCCTTGGGAATACCGTCTTGGAGGCAGGCATCTCTTACCAAGTCCCTGCATATGTGAGTGATGCTTCACTATTTCACTACAGGAGGCTCATACGGGATTTCTGGGAGTACTTGCCATAATGTTTGGGACATGCAGTGTTTCTGGTGTTCAGTTTTTTGTATGCATGGATGTTTTGGGGTCAAGTATTAATAGTGATTTAAAATAGTACAACTTGGGCTGGTTGGTGAAGCATCATGAAGCACACGACGTACCGTATTTACACGATTGTAAGACAACCCTTTTTTTCAAATTTGACAATCCAATGTTGGGGGGTCGTCTTAGAATCGAAACCCGCTCAACCCAAAGCGCATAGTTTTCCACGTGCTTATACAAAAGCTTTTCTTTTTTTAGCATCTACTGCGCGCATTACGAGTGCCTTTATGACGAGCGCACGGCTCTTGAGGGAGCACCGGTAATCGATGGAAGAGCCGCCGTAGGGGGGGTATTGGTAGTTGACGGAAGAGCTCCTCTTTGTGATACAATTTTCTAAGCGGGTGCGTCGCCGCGTGCTCCTGTCGCTTGTGTCCACGACCGGCTCTCTCGAGTCACTTCTGTCTGACATGAGTGCCGTTGGCTCGAAGAACACTCGGCGCTCGTTTACGGCAGCGTTTAAGCGGGCTTCTATTCTTCAAGCGGAGGAAACCAACAACTGTGCAGCAGGACGGAAGTTCGGAATCGGTGAATGTGTGGTGCGGAAGTGGCGGCTTCAGCGCGAGGAAATTTTCTCGTGCGACTCCAAGCGCCGTGGCTTTCGCGGGCCGAAGTCTGGCCGCTTTTCGGAACTAGAGGCGAAGCTTGCGGCCTACGTGACTGACCTACGCGATCGATCGTTGTTGGTCACCTGCGAAATGGTCACGCAGCAAGCCCGTGTCTACGCTGTTCAGGCAGGGATACCAAGGGTGCTTTTTTTTTTTTTTTTTTTTTTGAGATGCGATTTTGGGGGGTCGTCTTACATTCGAGTCGTCTTACAATCGTGTAAATACGCTACGTAATTTAGGACACAATATGCTACACCAATTTTGGAATAAGCCCGATGACTTCAAAAGTCCCAAGTACAATTAATCACTAGTACTCAAACTACTTATGATGAACACATGGTTGCGTCCTAGTTGTAGTTTTTGCTTGCATAGTTGCATCTCAAGGGTAGTTTCACTATCGCATATTGCTATGTAGGCTTTCCTGGGTCAGTGAAAATCGCTCTTACATCAACTTGGAGAGAACTGCCACATCCATGTTATGCCTGCTGCCGCAACAAAATACAGCTTTCTAATGGGTGCCATAGAGGGAAGTGCTATGCTTGAAGGTCATAGTGCTGAGGGTGGGGAAGGAGTCGCCCGTTGGCATGACTCCGCCCACTTTGCAATGTGACACCATGTCCGTGATAAGGCTTCAGCGTACAACCAACGACCAAGCGGAGCTACCGCCATGTGAGCACGTTATAGCCGCGCGAGCAGGAAGTGGGAAGCTAGGAGCACGTTTTCCTTCGCAGTAAAGTAGGGACACACCTCTTTTTCTCGGAGGCTTTCGTTCTGGCAAAACCGCTTTTTTCCGGAGTTTCAGGCTCTACAAAACAATAGAGAGCAGCACAGAAAAATGAAAATGTGAACTGCATGGCTGAAAATGCATCAGCAAAACCAAGGCACCGTTTCGTAGGGTAAAGAACCAATCGACGAGCTCAGTGGTGCATAATCTTGCCCATGGGCAAGTCTTAGTCATTCTGTGCGTAGTTCAAGGGGGTCTGGTTAGGCGAGACAAACAGGCACAGTATTGTTTTTCGAAATGGAGGGTCTGCGTGGTGCGCAGTGCTGTTATATCCGGCACATGTGATCGCCACAGTCTACTTTATGAATTGGCGAGCTTGTTTGGTGGGTGTGAAAGCAAGTCTGAGCCTGTTTACCGGCCCTTTAATGCATATGCTACTGATTCATTGCAGGAAAGAATACCCCAAAGAAGAGTATGCAGCAACTCTGCGAAAGGCCCAGTCGTCCAAGTGGGCCTACAAGAGGTATGCCTTGCATGGCTTAACAGCTTGTTCCTGCACAGTGCAGCAGGAGCCCACATGTAACAGTAGTTATAGACACCACACTTCTTCGAGCCGTGTTACGAGACAGTGGCATGATACAGTGTTTAAATTTGGCTCGACCAGCATGTCTCGCCATATTGTCAATTTTTTTACTTCTTCAGTTGGTACCGGGTGTGCACTCCTCCAGTTGGCATCATCGTTTCTAAGTGTTAGAAATTCTTGTATCTGTATGCATTTAGTGCAGCATTTCAATTTTTATAACATAAATACCAGAATATATCGGATTGCGTCTTCAAGCAGTCACTTGGGGTGTCACTTTCAGTAATGTAGGTTGGCTAAGTGCTTGCTTTAGGAGAAGGGTCATGATGTAAGTGTAAGTGCCAAAGCGTGCATGCTGCAGCCATAGTGATCTCGCTGGTAAAAAAGTGTGCAGTCTACATAGGTGTTGGTTTCCCATTTGCTGAGAGTGTGTATTAGGAGGGGGGGGGGAAGCTGTCAGTCAAGCCCAACATGTATGCAGCAGGTTTTTTTTTCGCTGTGTGGTTTGTTGCATTTTTGGTGCTTTTTACCGGAAAATATAGTTATTTTAGTTATAACCACAATGGATAATAGTGATTCTCAATAATGCGCTTGTCGATAGCTTTGGTTAGTTTAGTGCTCAAGTCAAAGTTGGGGAAATCAATAGTAACATTATTCATGCACTGGCAAACGTGCATTCAACGGAATAGAAACTACCCTGGAAAGAATGTTTAAAAGTAAATATATCTGCTATCAATCACAGTTGTGCATAGTTTTCTTTGTACAAAATTAAAATATGTTTGTCAATTGCTCTTCATATTTGAGTGACATTTTTGTTTTATAATTAAAAAAATTTGCAAGAATGGGCAAGTTCAAATACTTTCTACTTCTTTTGGGCTTCCTTTGTGGTTTTTATTATTATAACCTGGCAAGCCTGGTATGGTAGTTAAGCAGGCAGGAATAACGGCCATACTTTTGATCAAAATTTAAAATTTGTTTGTGCTAGGTTCATTCCAGTGTTATACTGTCGTAAACAAAATGCGGCCACTGTTCAAAGTATGCGGCTGGGTTTACAGACAAGCTAGGAGGGGACAAGTGACCTGCCTACCCCTGTGCAACTGATTCTTCTGTGCTCCATATGACTTGTTCTTTCTGCATATCTGCCTTGTTTTTTTTTTTCTGCTGTTAATCAGCGTGAAAAAAAGAAGGGGAAAATGCAACTGCAACAATGTGTTTGTGCAGTTGGCTCACAACCTTAAAAATAGTCCTGGGTTGCCCCAATGGCCACTTGCATAATAAGGGACTAGTTGGTTGACCCTGTGAAATCGTAGTTTTTAGTGTTTTGTATTCAGACCATAGGTCGGCAAACTCTTGAGTCTACTCACTCAGACTGGAATAGAGCGGTGAGTCTGGGTGAGTTTCAGTCTGAGCGAGTCAGATTGAAGAAAAGTTTCGTGGGTGCGAGTTCAAGTGAGTTCGTTTTAGAAAAAAGTTTGGCGAGTCTGAGTCTGAGCGAGTCTAAAGTGCAACATACATTTCTTGAGTGAGTCTAAGAGAGTTGCCGACCTGCGATTCAGACTGCAAAGAATATTTGTTAGAAGCAAAAAGGGATCGTGCACACAGACAGACACGTGTATTCTGTGCGAACATCAGTCTCATTGAGTGGCTGACATTTAGAATCTAAATGAGACAGAATCCCAAAGGAAAATTAGTCTTGAGGTAATGGAAAATAGTCAAGAGTTAGCGCCCATGAAAACATTGCAAAAGGGGCCATGTCTTCATCAGGGCAAGTCTTGTCAAGTTGTTGACTCCATCAGCATTTACTATATGACAATTTCTTACATTTGACAATCTCTATTGCACGACAAAACTTCAAGAGCTGTTGGACCTCGAGTTGGTGCTGCTTTTCTTCGCATAGAGACCATAGAGTCACTTGTTGAGCATCGTTAATTCACGTCAAAAGGATGTGCAAAAATCATTGGTTGTTGTATTCTTCGATGTGGTCTTCTAAACCAACTATCTTAGATTTTGGGACAAGGAGGAGGAACAAAGCTTTGATCGATGGTTGTTGTATAGTGATCTCTCTGGGCAAATCACTTGTTAACAGTAAGTGCATCAAACACTGGTATATTTGAGCACAGGGCTGATGATACTGCCGTTTTGCATTCTGCAAGAGCACTGTCATTCTAAAAGGAACAGTGTTAAAAGGCAAGGCCATGTTTCTAGCCATTGCATTTTGCAAGGGCTACCTGAAAGGTTGCTACACAGTTATGCAAGGCTAGTTGCTGTATTTTAACAATGGTACTGCACATGGAGATTTATGCTAGGGATCAAAGGTAGTTTCTTAATACAAATGAATTGGTGGGACTTTGCATACGTGCATCTCTGTTCTCAGTTTCCACACTATAGTTATGTGTGGGCTTCACTGCAGAGTTTTGTAAGAGTTCTAAGTGGTGGTGGGACTTTTTTTTGCTATTCCAATGTACTGCAAGCATTAATTTTGATTTTCTTTTTAATTTCCACAGATGTGACGTAAACAGCTTGTAAGTTTTGCATATTTTGCATATATAGAGCCCACATGCCCTGCAAAATTCTGGCCAGGTAATGCCTTGGCACTGTGTCCTTCAATCACTGCTTAATCCCTGCACTTAGTATCTATGTGCCTCTGTTCTTGATAATACTTGGCTCTGGGTTCCTCCTCCTTGCCCTTTCTACTCTCAAGTATCATGTCTGCATCAGTCCAGCCTTTCCTAATCCTTCTTTATTTATTTACCCAAACTTTATTTGCCCAATGCAACCTATGCAGTTTGCTTTATTTATTGCCGATTTTTAAAATGTTTTGCAAAAAAAAAAAAGGACCTTAGGATTACGTAAAAAATGTTTTCTGTAGATGTACTACACTCAAACCTCATTAAACGAAGTTGCATCTTACACGAAATAAGTTTGTTATATCTGAAAATTTGTTATAAAAGTTTATTTCTAACACTATATTTATTGCAAGACTATTTTTCATTTACTTCGTTACAACCAATATTTCATTATATCCGGTTTCGTTATATTGAGGTTTGAGTGTACTTGCATTGCTTATTTATGACTAATAAAAATGAGAGTAAGGAAATTACTGTTTCACAGTGTTAGAAAAAACATGCACGTCAGACTTCTGTTACTTTTGTACTAGTGAAACTTTTCCTGCTGCGCCCACTTTTGAGGAGTTCCTTCTAGGTTGAATTTTGAGCTTAAACTTATCAGTAGTTGCAGTCGATCTAGTGCAGTCAGTTTGGCATCTGGGCAGCAGTTCGCAACAAGTGAATTGCCACTCAATTTTCTTGCAGCTACAAAATCCTGCTGCATATTCACAGCTTAACCACTTTGTACGGGAGTGCATGAAAAAAAAAATTTCGCTGAGAAGTCAAACTAGAACATTGCAATAACTGAGTAAATACAAAAAACAAAAAGTAATTCCAGTATTGAAAAAGTACAGGTCAAGGCGACAAAACTGTGAGGCACAAACTCTCAACTGGTTTCTAAGTTACTGCATCCATGTTGTCTTCTAGTTTTACAGTACAATACATGAGAGAAGAAAGAAAAAGCATAATAAAACTAAAAAGCTCACTTTTCCTTTAGCATAGATGCTGAAGTTTAATGCTTTATTTTTCAGTATGCACTGCATCATATATGTAATTTTTTTAGGCAATCATCGATGGCATCATTAGGCATCAATAATAACTGTTTCAAATGCCTCTCTTCTTCTGTATGGCAGTGATAACCACAATTATAGGGGAAATACATTTCACAAATGCATGTTGCGCACTTTGCATTGTATTTAGGGGGTTTGCAATCATTTGCACAAATTGCATTCCCAAATGCTCTCAATGGTGAACATGTTGCCTATAGGCCTTAATAGGTGCAGGCGCAGGATTCAGTGAACATCATTGCTACAACTTGGCTCAAAGTTAATATCCTTGTCGTGGTGCCTAATCGTGGGCAGTCGCATTTCACTGGAGGCGAAATGGTAAAGGCGTGTGTACTGTCCCATGTCAGTGCACGTTGAAAAACACCAGATGGTCAAAAGTTTCAGAGCCTACAACTACAGCGCCTCTCATAATCATATGGTGGTTTCGGGACGTCTACCCCAGATATATTTATTATTGCCATGGAGTAGAATGAATTGGCCTGACTGCTTGAATCTAGTGGCTAGTCCACTTAAAGTGCACATCATCACTTTTTGTTTCCCACCGTTAGGTGTGCCACATGCAACTACTTTGTGGCTTTGCCGTGGCATGCAGCATATGTTATACTGTCTTCAGGAATAGCAGATATCACTGGACATCATCCAAGCTTGATCACTTGAATTGGCTTTTTTAAGAAGACTTTCAAAAGGCTGATGCTGTAAATGGTCATTTATTCAGCATTGCATACTAATACACCCAGATGTCTACATGCTGTTGATGTTAATACATAGATTTCTAGAAGCTTCATTGGTATGGTGCATCCATTTCGAGAGAGTTGAAAATTTTGCATGCTCCAAGGCGAATATCCTTGCTATGCACATTTCAGGCAATGTACATGACGTCCCGCATAAGTTGAGCCTTGACTTTAAAAATGAAATGGTCATCAGAAACTGATCCAACTGAACATGCTGGTCACAATTGCGTGTAGTTACTCAAAACTGTTTTTTTGCTGCTTTATTGTGTATTTGTCCATATGTCTACACAGATTGGCTATCCTCGAAAGGCGGTAATACGGTTCACGATTTCTGCTTTGAGGGTCTTCTTTGGTTGACCGTTTTGCATGCTTGTTCCTTCTGCCAACTGCAGCCTGAAAGATGGAGTGATGCACTTCAAAGCTGGCAACCATAGTGAGGCATTTGGCTGCCTCAACAAGGCCCTCCAGATTGACCCCGAGAACGTGGAGGCGTTGGTGGCACGCGGTGCTCTGTGAGTTGACCTCCTTGGCTGGGAGCACACTGATTTCCTTGCTTAAGTATAAACTGTAACTGCTGTTTCCACCTTTGTAAAAATTGATTTGTATGCTGTCCCTTTATTAGTAGTGTACACAAAACAAGTGCCTCGTTTGTAGCCTCGGCTTCAACCTTTACCGAACTCATCACCTCTGCTATTGCAAGGTGATGTGTTTTTTGAGACAAATATCACCCTTCACAGCACTTCTCCTATTTTTGATCATTCTACTATTTTCAGTGGTATATTCAACAGTTTTTCATTTGGGGTGAAATAAATGAAAAAGAGCAATGCAGCCCAGCGTCACTAACAAATTCTGAAGTTGCAGGGAAAATTCACAGGCTACCACTGTCAGAATGCATGCAGAATGTGCGCTAGTGATCACTGGTTAATTTGCATGAAAACCTGTGTAGCACTGCAGCTGCAGCAGTGGTGAACTGTGGTACCAGTTCACAGTTTGGCTTGCTGCTTGTGATCTTAATTTTGTATGACTGTGGCTTTTGGTGTCAATGTGGCACCTTCTGAAACCTGATTCCTAACCAAATATTATCGACAGCATGCTAGAAAAGTAGCCCACTGGCACACACCTAGTGACTTAGCTAGGTATAAAAGGAAAATGGTTATTATATCTGAAACTGTGCGATGTGCTCTAAAAACACGAATAGCCAATAAAATGTTACTGAAAAGCATTTGTTACTCAAACGTGTGATGATGGAGGGACTGTTGTGCTGTACTTCACACTGAAGCTCTGTTTTTCTTTGTGGTTGTGCAGGTTTGCAAACAACAGCAACTTGCGACGTGCCCTGGAAGACTTCGAGCAGGCACTGACCTTGAATCCAAGCCACCCCAATGCCCGCAAGTACATGTCCGAGACTCTGGTAGCCCTTGGACGCTAGTGAGTATCTTTCTTCCACATTATGAAGAAGCACTTGTGGATTTTATAATCCATATACCACAGGACACAGGGCTAGTCTATAGTTGGGTGCAACTTCAGAAGGCAGGGTCATTTCCACTTCAAAGGTAAAGGAACTTGAGTCCTTACCAATGGCTGATGTCACGAGTCCAACAACCATCAATGTCGCAGTAGCAGAATATAGCCGAAAATGTGAAAGAGACTGTATTTTCGTGTCGTGGAGGTGATCGGTTGCCGCATGCTGGTTGGTTGCTACCCTGACAAAAGCTGCCACCTCCCTAAAGTTTTGAGCTGAAAGGCAGTGCAATCCGTAGAGGAAAATGATACATAAATGGCTCACGCAGCAAGGATTTGCATTCCAATGCATTTAATTTGTTTAAAATAGCTTCACTGCCATACAGCTATGTAATGCAGTAAATACTGATCGAACGTGGTGTCTGTACAGTAAGGCATATTTGGCTGCACCTATTTGCTGTAGCAAAGAAGACAGCCATGGTTTTTTTTTTATGAGAAAAACTCCCTAGTTCAGGGGGGACATGGGTCTTTAAAATTTTTTTTGTTTTTGGCTCAATCTTGACCAAACCTCACCATCTTGGACAGTTTTTCATGCCGATTTCAAATATGTAATTGTTTCTGAAATAGCTTCAGTGGATAAAAAGATTATTAACATCTGTAATTTAATTAATTATGCACTTCATTGGGGGCTTTTTGGCAACTTAATCAAGCCAGATCCAAAAAATAAATGCATAGCCCCAATGCTGAGGGCTTTCTGTATGGGGTGATGCTATTTTTATTAATTTTTAGGCATTATATAGATAAGAAAACAGACCAGCACTTACAATGGATATTCTGTTCAATTTTCGCTCATTACTATCCATAATTGTAATTAACAGTATGCTTCTAGAGAATCAAAATAGCATCACCCCATAGGTAATGTTATTACAAATAAAATGATACCAAGTTTGTCATTCTCAATCAACAGTAACATATAAGAAAAACCCCTAAGGTTTAGTGTGGTGCACAAAAACATCGAACTGAGAAAAACGCATTTAAAGTTTTTAGTAACTGTAACTTTTGCTAAAGTGAAGCTAGAGCAATAAAAATGGCACCCTTGTATAGCTCTACATTATGCGAGTATGGCTGTACCAAATGTGTCAATGCACCTTCCCAAAATATTTGCCACAGCTCATTTAAAAACTGTGTACTGGCCGTTGAATCAGTATAAGGAACCCAGTCTACAACTTTTTGGCTGTTCTAGTGCACTGAAAACCAAAGGAAGACACATGTTATATATAAAAACATCGCCCTTTTATACATAAAACACTATTTCAAGTAATACACACATTTTTGTCCCAGACATCCTTACAATTCTACAGCATGCCAGGGCTGTATGCAGTGTCTCTTGCAGGCTTATGTCGCTTTGCAAGTGTTGCTTTTGTTGAACTGCTCTGCAGGTGCTCCCTCCGCGATTTGTGAAGCCTGGTTTTATTTTTTTCAAGGCTACGACGCATGAAGAGATTTCCTGCACTGTAGCCTAGCTTCTCAGCAACCGCTTCATTGCTCTTCGTGGCCCCCTGATTAAAGCGGCTGATGGCTTCAGCCACTGCTCTTTCTACGCTGCGCAGTGAGGCATGGGTCGTCGTCTGAATGTGCTGCCTCCCCAATAACAGGCATTTCCGACAGCCCGTTGTCGTCAGAATGCGCTGCCTCGGCCATCTCCGGAATTCTCGGCGGCGCGCAGGCCGCTCCCTTCTGCCGTGCATTCCACGCTCGCTTTCGTTTCCTGCCGAAAGCTTGACGAGTGTTCTTCTTCAGGCGAGCTTCCCAAGCCATGCTGGCGAAATGCAGAAAGACGTATACGTCGGCGACGTCGGTACACGAGCGGGTAGCAGACGAGATAACACGCACGAGAGCAGGCGCCGACGGAGCAAAAAAAAAAAAAAAAAAGAGCGAGCAACCGTGGCCGCGCCGCTGCGCCAGCCAATGGTAAGCGCGAGACGGGGCGGCTCGCCGGCGCGCGCGCGCTCTAGCCAATCAGCGGTCCGGCAGACGGCTTCGCAAAACGGGGGAGGGCAGTCGTTGTGTTGGAGCTACGCCATTTTGAGAGCCCGCAAAACGCGCACAAAGGAACCAGCTTCAAAACAAGCCCAAGATGGCGCCGATCCGCCGGCTGCTTCGCTGGCGGCGCGCGCGGGAAGTTCGAACAAATTTTCTGTTTTGCGGGTTGTTTTGCGACTCCCGTGATGGTTTGAAAATAGATTTTAACCTATTTTTTTTATCGAATTTAGCGTTAATAATTTGAGGAGAGGTGCTTATAGGTTCAAAGATTCGAAAAATGCGTTTTTCTCAAAATCGATTTTTTGGCCATTTTTTACTTTTCTAAGACCCGCGTCCCCCCTTCAATGCTTTTCACAGGAATGTGTAAATGTAAAATAAAAAAAAATAAACTACACAATCATCATGGCCTTGGGGAAAGGAATTGGCAAACTCCTGTTTCTCACCTTCACAAGATACTTTTTCAGGTAGGCCAAAATTTCATCAGATAGGCATGCATTGTATTTTCATTTACTATACAAAGAATTATGCACACCTTGAGAAGGCGTGTGACCCCGCAGTCATGTAGAAAAAAGTATCAAGGTCGCTACTTTGGTAGTTTTGGGAAGTTATGCAAGTCATACAGTTGGCAGGCGTACAATGAGCATTGAGTGTGGCTTGATTGTACCACTTGGTGAATCTTATTTGTTGTGAGTGCGAAGAATCAATGCTGCCTGCTTATTGAAGAGGATGTCACGGTGTGTGCAGCTACGAGGAGAGGGGTGACTTGGAAGGTGCGGTCAAGACGTACAAAAAGGCTGTGAAAGTGAACCTGAGCAACGCAGATGCCCGGGAAGCCCTTATTGCCATGGAGATGAAGGAACGCAAGAAGGAGGCTGTAAGTACCTCACATTCTCATATTATCCATAATGTCAGGAGTGCCTTAAGCTATTGCTGCTTGCTGGTCACTGGTACAGTCAACTGATGATTGTAGAGATGAGTGCTGTGGTAAAAGCTGGAGTGGGTTTCGTAGTGTAGCCATTACATTGGTCCGACTTTGCAGGAGCCTTTGGTGTCCCAAGAGAACCGATCTCTGTCAAGCCAGGCTTCGGTGCTTGCTGAACTTCAAGGAGAGATGGGCAAACCCAAAGACACCAGGGAGAAGCTGCGGCTTCTGCTTAAGGATGAAGTGGAGAAAAAGTGAGCACTTCTTCAATCCCTGTGCTGATATGGAATAGGGGTAATCCCAACTGCACATATTACGCCTTTTTGGTGGCATAGGCAGGAATCGCGGAAGCAAGCTTTCTGATTGTGTCGCTGAATTCAAAGAGGCAATAGTTTCTGTACTGGGATGGCTAATGCAGTCACCAGCGAATTTCTCAGACCCTGAAAATTCGGACTTGTTGGATATTTCAGACTTCACAAATGCACAGTCAAGGTTCCCATTGCACTAATGCATTTTCATGATCGATTTTTCGGACGAATTTATGTTCCGATGTTAGATTTTCTGGACCAAGTTGTTTGTTTTAAGCTACGCTGCTCTATATTGTGGGAATTGAGGCTAGCCCGCTGCCTTTGCGCGGGCTTTGCCGCCTTTTCTGCCGTTCTCATGTCCCGACATGTCTGCCCTCCTTTGCTGTCTGCCGCGCTGAGAGAGCGGAGTGACGGTTAACTCCCTCGCCCGGTAGCGGATGTTGACGGTGGCGCCGCGCGCGGGGACTCCCAAGAGAGGTTTTCGCGCGCTGCGTCGGGGGCGGTCAGATACTCTCCGGGACAGCAAACGGTGAGCCACGCTATCTTTTCGTCCGTCGACTCCCGTCAGTCGGGGCTCGTCGGACTTCGCTGACGGCGCCTCGCGCCCAAGGCGAACGCTCACCCGCTGTTGCCCCGCTGCGTACGCACGGCCGAAGGGCGGTACGGTGTCCTAGTGCATGGCCTCGCTACGCCGACCCGTCTCCCTTCGAAGCCAACGCGAGCGCCTTTGCTCCGGTGTCTCCGTGGATCACCTTTACCGCGGAGACGTGCTCGTGGCACCCCTGTGTAGTACTTTGTGCCCGTGGCGTGGATAAGCCTGCTTGCTTTCCCGCCGCGCCTTTTTGCAACGGGCTGTACTGCGTTTGGTGTTGCCACAATAAAGTGTTGCGACTTGAGCAGTATCGTGTTTCCCGCCACGGCGACGGTTAACGCGTGCCCTGCGGCTCGCTAAGACCGGACCCACGCTGGTGGCCGTACTCTTTCGGGATACGTGTACACCACAATATTGAAAGCCGCCATGTTGTTTTCGGGGTTGGGGGGGGGGGGCTTCGTCGAGTTTGGTTTGCAGTGGCTAGTTGTGTGGCCTGCAAGATTGGCTAGCGAAGCTGCAAAAATTTTCTTTTTGTGTCAGCCTTACCATCATCACTAATGCGCCAGTGGGTTTTTATTTCCTGGGCGTTTGTTTTTGTGGTAGTCATTGCTCACGTGGTCTTATTAGTGGTGTGCCAAGTGTTTTTGAGCCGATGTGCACATCACATGGTCGCTGCTGTTTGCAATTGCTCTGTAGCACTACAGTGGTCACTGTGCTTGGCTACTGACCTGAAACACGCGGGTTCGATCATGGCCACGGCAGGTAGTGTTTTGATAATCTCAAAATGCTGGAGGCTCTCTTACTGGGCAGTGTCGGTGCAGGTAAAAGAAGCCCAGACTTTTTTTGTTGAATCCCACAAAATAGGCGATAGGTTGCATGCATCTTTTTGTGACCGGCATCAAGTTTTGCTTGCTTGGTTCACGGAGCCATCAGCTTTGCCACCCGCAGCGATCGGCGGCAGCAATTCCCAACGCACTTGCAAACTGTGTTATTATAGTCCAAATAGAAGCAAATTTGCTCGTCCCCAAGAACAGCATGAAGCATAGCATTACAGGGAATTTTTTTAGGCTTTTGTATTCCAAATATATTTCATTTTCATGGCTTAACCACTTTTTAGACTTTTTCGCGGTCTCCCCCTGGTTCGGAATATGTCAGCAACTGTAGACCCCTTTTAAAATGGTAAAGTCAGCTCTCCTGCCATGCATTTTAAAAAACTATGGCAGCTTTTCATTTAGGCAAATCCCGTATAAACCGGACTATAGGTCGAGTGGGAATATAGGTCGACACCCCCCAAGTTCAGGTTACCGAAAAAGAAAAAGGAAAACGGCCCAAAACTGCTGAACCATGTTTATTCGCGAATTGGGCACACCACCCCGATTGTCGGAGCTCCCCTCAACCCCCATCGCAACTGGATCCTATTCATCCGACAAAGCACCACTGTCTTCTGAAGACGAGAGTTTGTCGCTGGCCGCCTCCCACAGTGCGTCGCCCTCCGTGCCATCCAGCGAGTTTCTGGAGCAACATTTCTTGAAAGCCTTTTTCACCATGAAATCTGGCAAGGAACGCCAGGCGGAAAGCACCCAGCCACAAACTGTCACAAGCGGAGGCCTCTGTAGGCGGACCGTCGGTGTCTGGGTTGTCGCCGGTCTTGGTACTCCAGCCGCACTCGGTCCTGGAACGACTTATTCAGCACAATGTAGAGCGGCTGGAGGGTGGACGTCATACCCCCTGGTATCACGGAGAGGTTCGTTTTCCCGTCGCCAAGTGCACGTTTCAAAGCGTCGGTTAAGTGACCACAAAACGCATCCAACACCAGCATGCTGCGAAGACGCAGCAGTGCACCTGGCCGACGGTTCCACACTACTCTTATCCATTTGAGCATCATGGCTTCGTCCATGTATCCCTTTTTGTTGACGCGAACGACAACACCGGGCGGGAACACTTTTTCGGCATTGTCTTGCATTTAAAAATGATGAAGGGCGGAAGCTTTCTACCATCTGCCGTGCATGCCAGCATGACGGTGAAGCGCGAGCGCTCATTGCCAGTGGACAACAGCTGTCACATCCTTGGCACTGCACTGCGAGATCGTGGGCGACGAAGGCATGTCAAACCACACGGGGGTCTCATTGGTGTTGCCATTCTGCTCCATCATGTAGTCGTTTTGCTCCCGAAGCCGGTTCATGAAGCGCTGAAAGTTTATAAGCTTTTCCTCCAACTCCTCGGGCAACTTCTGACAGATGGATGTGCGCCGCCGGAGAGAAAATCCTTTGCGTCGCATAAATCGACACACCCAAGAGTTTGGTGCACGAAACTTTCCTCTCATGAGCCTAGCTTCTCAAGCGAGTTCCACAGCTTTCTTGCGAATGGTATCCACGTTCACTGGCAGCGAGCGCGCACGAACTTCTCGCACGAAGTGCGCTAGCTTATCCTCCAGCTGCGGATGAACGGCGCTTCGTCCACGAAACGACATTTTTTGAGGATTGCACATCTGCAGCGCCCCTTTCTACACCCTCCAATAGCGCACGCTTATATTCCGATACACCAAAGCGGGGCTGAGCAGCCATATTCTCGTTCGCTTCTGGGAACTCGCCAACATTTAATTTAAACGCAGCTGAGTATTGCCTCCTCGTACCGCTACTCATATTGAATAAATGAAAAAAAAAATACCGCTAAAGATGCAGCGCAATTGCAAGCGGAACGAAAACCGAACAGATCGGAAGCAAATCATGAACACAAAGAAAACAGACAGAGAGAAAAAAAAAAAAACAGCCTGTGATTGGATTTGGATACGGTTATGGCCATGTCCGGCTTCTCAAGCACATGCAAGTTACGCCAGACAGCGGCGCACTTTCTGTTAGACACCGCTATATAAGAAGAGGGGCGACTTTAGGTTAATATTTTATTGAAAATATCTCGACTTATATTCCAGTTTATATGGTAGCCTGTTGAAGTGCAGTTTGCTTAGGCAGTGATGTTGAAAGAAAATGTTGAGTCGCCTCTCTTGATATTGTTACGGAAGAGAGACGCCGCATCGATGGGGCTGTGGATCAAATATATTTCAAACCAGCAGCAGCAGCAGCAGCGGCGTGACCGGTAGACCAGACATCGAGTGGAGACCACTCTTAGTCCTCTTCATCCGGCACACACGCGCATCGTCCCACAAAATGTCAACATGCATGTAGCAATATAAGCACTCGTAATAAACGAGCCCCAACAGGTTCAACTCGGACCACGTGTTTCCTTGAGGCAGACAAGATGCCGCCATTTCTTGTTAAATAATGCAATGCAGAGGAGCGCAATTTGTGTGTTCACAATTTGTGTGTTCTGTTGTGTAGCATGAATGAGGAGTACCGTATTTACTAGCGTAATCCTTTTTTTCTCGAGTAATTATCGCACCCCGAAAATTCCTGCAATAATGTCGTCTGCTCGTTCCAGCCACTGATGATGATAGCATGTTCTATCTGGTGCCATCTCTTAAGGGGAGACGCGGGTCGAAAAGTCGCGTTTTTTTTCCAAATTTCACCTTTTCTGTTTTTTGTTGCTTTATCATCTTTATACATTATATTTTGACATCTGAAAATATCACAGCGAAATAAGCATCAGAAGTCAGTGAAAAACGCGTCTGAGTGAGCGGCAGTGACGCGCGGCATCACGAAATTTACACAAAACGGGCTGCTGTTCGCGTGCTCGCGGGGCCGCGAAGAGAGCTGTCCGCCATATTGCGGCCGCTGGCTCGTGTAGAGTTGTCCTTATTCTCCACGATCCCGGTTCTTGAAGTCTCGTACGTTCACGAAAAATCTAAAAAAAAAGCAACAAAAACAGTCTTTTCCCGCCGTTTCAAACCGCGCGCCACTAACGCAGGGCCGCCATTGGCTGACAGCACCCGTGTTTTCTTGCCGTAGTTCGCTTCACTGTTTTCCGGAGTTATTTTTCGCTGTTTTCGTGCGATGGCAAGCCCGAAAAAGGCCGTTGCCGACCATCGGAAATACAGAAGTAAGAACAAGTTCAGAGGGAAGCGGCGGAGGACGTACAAGAAAGCCACCGCCAACGAAAATGTCCGCGACGGGCCAGCGGCCGGTAGGCCTAACATCGACCACGGCAACGTCGACCATGGCAACTGCGACGACGAGATCAACGCTGCAGTGAATTTTGTGAGTGCATCGCAGAAAAAGATCGCGTTATTCGAAAACGACGTCAGGCCGAATGCCGATCGTGCCGAAAGCGTAGTGCTGTGCGAGTTGGGTGCATTGACGGCCGTCGTCGCAGGCGCGGCATGCCCCGTTTGTCACGAGAGTAAACTCGCAGTTCGGGCACCGAATAAAAAGCGGAAAGGCCTTTCGGCGTTTCTGGAGCT